GTTGAGTCCCAGACGAAGTTTGCTGTTCGTCAGCTGGGATGCTGGAGAGTTTGGGAACGTTGGAGCCACTGAGTGGCTGGAGGTTCGTCCAATCAGAGAATAGGAACGCGTTACACGCCACAGAAAAACTTGACAAAGTATTGCATCATATTATAATTCTCATGCCCTGTCTTCACTGACCTCTGTGCTCCAGGGATACCTGTCCATGCTTCACCTGAAGGCTGTAGCCTACTTCAGTCTGGACCAGGCTGTCATGGGTAACAGAGCTCTCATCCAATCAGGAGACGTCTTTAATCTGCCAGCCAATCAGGGTCTGAGAGAGATATGTGTGTGTGTGTGTGTGTGTGTGTGTGTGTGTGTGTGTGTGTGGGGGTCTGCAGTGCCAATCATCATTTATTGAACAATATTTTATGATAATGGTTTGGAGGGCGAGACACAGGATTACCTTTGGTTTGGGCCTCTGCAGAGGATCGAGTCAGTCAGCTTAGTCTTCTCCTCAGGTCCTCACACACACCCACACTCTCTGCCTGATCAGTTCTGCAGCTAACTATATGGCTATTTCCCAACTTCCTGCAATTGTCCAGATCTTGACGTTCAACGGGCCCCCACCCAAGTTACACTTCTCTATTTTGGGAACCCCCTGCAGCCTGTACTGAAAAACAGGAAGTCTGATGCCCAATGTTCTTGCAGAGACCCTTACAAAAGAGCAGACCATACTACATATTATACTTTACTAACATTTGCCTATCAACTATGCTAATAACTATTAACTATATTCTGATCCTATTCTGACTATATTCAGTTTGCTTTTACCACTACAAATGTCTTTTGTTTAACAAAATGGGACAAATGTTTGACATTTTGTTTGCTCGTCACTTGTTTCCCTCAAATCTGACTCACAGCAAACAGTTTTATTAAAACCATGCTGTTCCACAGGGACCGGTACTCGGCCCACTGTGGTTCATTGTTTACCTGCTGCTGCTTGGTCGCATCTTCAGGACTGACTAGAAATAATCACAGTTATGCTGACGACACAAATCTTTTTTCTGGCTTGTTCATCCAGCCAACCTTAACACAAGTTTCATAGGTTTTTCCATAAATCAGTCCAGAGTTTGGGAATAGTTTTGGATCCATTTCTGACATTTTAGACACACATCAAGTATGTGACAGAATCTGCCTTTTTATACTTATGTAACAGTGTCGGCCCCCCAGTGTTGTGGCCCCAACTCAAAACACCAGTTAGTGAGAGGGCACCCACCTGATGACCCTGTAGACCTGCCCTCACTCCTACACCCACACCACCTGCTGTTGGTGTTGGTGATAATACATCTACAGACTCACTGGAATCTTCCTTTGTTAGACAGTCATGGTAGATCAGTGTCAGTGGCTGGACAGCTGAGTAGACCCGGCTCTCAGAGGCGACCGCCACTACAGACCAGATGGACCAGCCACTGCTCAACCTGAGCAAATGCAGATGCTGTGTGTCGGGCCACATACCGTATCTGCTCTTTGTTTGGGTGAGGACAGGGTTCAGGGATGTTTTGTGTTAAGGGCCATTTACATCTGGAAAATGGTGCTGCTTACTGAGGGGCTCTGAAGATTTATGACGGCCTGGCCTGATACCCCCCTCTGGGGCCAAATAATGGGTAAACATGATTGAACTCCTACACTGAGCTTCCATAGGAACACTCTCCCAGTCTTTGGCACTTTTAACTGTTTACTACTGACAGTGCTGCATTTTATCTGATCCAGACTCCAAAGTCTTTGTACATGCCTTTATAACATTCTAGATTAATTACTCTAATGCACACGTCTCCATCTGGTCAAATATGCAGCTGCATGTCCTCAAAGGAACCAGTAAGTTTAAACATACTGTATAACACCTGCCAACCAGTACAAAATTCTTCCTCTGACTTACCTCAGACTTGAGCATTGTTTCTGTATTAACCTTCAGGATTCTATTTAAACTCCATGAACTCAGGTTCCTGCCTCTGTGTGTTGCAGGTGGAGCATCCTAAACATGCAGGTCAGACCATCTACAGCCAGGCTGAGAGAGAAGGAGGCAGCTGGAGGATGTGAGAAAACACACATCACCATTTAATAACAAGCTATGAAAGGCTGTAAAGTGGTGTTGGTGTTCACCCTCGTCCCCCATGAGGAGATGGATACAATGACATTCATCTCCTCGTGGGGGACAAAGAAAGGAAGAGGATTTACCTAAAGGTCAGTGAGACATGTCCCTGTCCTGTCCTCAGCATGAAGCCGTTGTACCTGAACAGTGGAGCGTACAGTTTCACAGCATTCGCAGGAGTTCCAGCCATGGAGCTCAGATTCTCCGAGGTAAACTTTCCATTGTACTGTGGAGCAATGTCTGTTATCACTGCGTGTCCTCCACTGTGTGCTCATGACATGGTGGAGTTTATAATGTGATGTTTGTCAGACACAGGTTGTCATCAGGTCTCTGTGTGTGTGTTCAGGAGCGAGCGTACCTGTTCGTCAACACACCACTGGACAGCGCCTCCCGCCTACAAGAAGTGCTGGGGGGTCGTCTGGGGGTCACAGGGCGGAGCTTAGGGGAGCTGGTGGGGGAGATGGTGCTGCGATTGGCTCACGACCACATCCTGCCGCATCACTTCCTATGCCCAGACAGTGCTGCAGTTCAGTGCTCAGCTCAACGAACACTGCTGAGCTGCAGGTAACGCACCTGTATCACTGAGGTGTCACTGTACAGGTGTCGACTGCAGCCAGGGTCCTGTCCTGGGTCCTGTCCAGGGTCCACCACAGATTCTGGGAACCTAATAACATGGCCCATGATTCACAGTTTGACTTAGCTGTACAACTCAGGAGCCAGTAGAACCAAGTTTCCTACAGGTTTCGAGCTATATTGTCCTGGGATTCAACCAGTTTCATCTAAGACTGGATCAGAGACCTTTCTGTGTAGCTGATGTGTGTCTCTGTCTCTTTGTCTCCCCGTCCATCTGTGTCTCTGGCTCCGTCTCCAGACCAGAGGCCTGTCTCCTCAGTGGGTTTTCAGTGCCAGAGGAGATTACAGTCGAGCTGCAGAGACACTGCAGAGAGCCATCGACTACAGCGACCTGCACGACCCGACCACCGCCCGCTTCTACAACCTCCGCATCATGAAGGTACTGACACTGCAAACACAGCAAGGTCTGATGCAACACAGTAATGCAAATCATCTTCTGTCCTCAAGGTGGAGTACTACTTCCTGTCGCAGTACGTGTCAGTGGTGGAGACACCATTTCGTCACGTGATCCACGGCCGTGGTGACCACACTCTGAGCGCACTCACTGAGCACCTGGCCCTGCTGACCTCTGACCCTGAACGCTTCGACGAGACGCGGTTCAGACGACAGCTGGCCCTGTTCACCTGGACACTACAGGGAGCTGCTAACGCCCTGAACGGAGACGTGTGGAGCATCCACAACACACACACCTATACACGCTGAAGGACACATAACACACGTATACATGCTGAAGGACACACAACACACACCTATACACACCGAAGGGCACGCAACACACACACATGCACACTGAAGGACACACAACACACACATGTGTACACGCTGAAGGACACAAAACACACACGCATACATGCTGAAGAACACTTCACACACACACATGCACACTGAAGGACACACAGGGGACCACAAGGCTCCAAAACCTGGAGGACAGCTGTGGCTCAGCTGCTGACCTCAGGTGTTCCCACTGACCTCCATCTCCCTCCGAGCTGTCGGACCCGGCCACTCTTCTGTGGACCAGACACCAAACAGTTGAATGTAACCATCTTGTCTGTTTGATTCACTGAGAAAAGGAGCAGAAGCAAATTAAACCAACTTGGTAAACATGTGTGAATGTCAAACTGTCTCAAAGGGTGAAACTCACTACAAGCTGCTAAATTATCCTAAAAATAAAATAGCGCACGTGATGGAAAGTCATTCATGATGACGAGTTCATTCAGAGTCCTGTTCATGGAGCAGCAGCACACAGACACAGAGCAGGTGTAGACATAAGACAAGAGCAGGATGTAGCTGTAGTTGACGTTACAACAGACCTGTGATGAACTTCTGCAGGGTCTTTGTCCTCATACCTGTTCCCAAACAGGCCTGTGTGCTGGCGTTAGCATCAGGCTAGCAGAAATATTTTAGACTTTAACACTGAGCCGATTAAATTCAGCAGAGGGATGAACAAACTCAGATTGACTTTAAAATGCAGGGACAGGATTTAAATGTCAGGAGGACTCAACTCACAGAGAGACAGGAGCTCGCTGTGTTACTGACCATCTGTGCGGAGCTGCACAGTGAGGGACAGGTGTGTCAGGTGACAGGAAACAGAAGGAGAGTCTGGAGGCCGGAGGGGGAACAGCAGAAAGGCCAGAAGACACGGTTACATAAACTACCTCAACATGTCGGTCTGGCACTTCTTAGGCCAGACTGTGGGTGTTGAGGTTTAATCAGCATTTAAGGTGATTTATTGGTTTAATTCCGTCTGAACGAGGTGTCGGCGTTCAACACCTTGTTATTAACTATTAACATCCAAGTCATTTTATTAATATTTAAGATGATCAGTTTGTATCAATACATGAATCAGACAGAGGTCAGGTTCTGCTTTTATAAGGAATTTATTTCAATATTTCAACAGCTGAATTTAATTTATAACTAGTTGGTATCATTATACAACAGGTCATGAAACCACTAGTGTCCTCGGTACTGGAGTGTGTGTCAGAGTCATCAGTACTCACATGTACTGCAGTGTCCAGACGGTTTGTGACAGTGCTCATACAGAAAATACTACCGTGTGTGTGATCAATAATCTTTATCGCTCATTAGGATCATTTTTATTAGTACTATAATTAATCACATGACCCTAATACTCAGTCTGAAATCCCACTGGAACCATCAGAGACCAGTGGCCATGTTGGATCCACCGTTGGTCCCAGTTGCCATGGTTCACACGACTTTCTGTCATTGATGTTGCCACACAACATGCCCCTCCTCCAGGAAATGTGTGTGAGCTCCCAAAGCAGTGTGGGTAAAGGAGTCCATAGAACAGGAGCAGGGGATCATGGGTACTGGTAGCACAGACCCACAGCTGTGCCTCAAAGAACTTTAGCTGGGAATTGTGGGTAACGTAGTCCTTCTGTGCTGTCGTAGGTGGTATAATCCTTCACCACAGCAGGGAACTGTGGGTAATGTAGTTCAAAGCCTTCTGCTTAAAAATGAAATAGTTTTCAGTTTTGCCTCCTTGTTGTTGCTAGGCAACCAGAGACAGCAATTGGTAAAAACTGTCCGAACTATCTGCTGCCTCAAAAGAGGACTGATGGTGTTGTAGTCTAGAAGAAGGGTGTTGTAGTCCAGATGAGGGAGTTTGGGGATCGTAGTTCAAACACAGAGGGACTGAGGGTGTCACAGTCCAGGTGAAGAGGATTTGGGTGAATGTAGTCCAGACAGAACGAGACTGTGGGTGTCGTAGTCCAGATGTGTGAGGTCTAAGGCTAAGAAGAAAATGATTGTGGATGTTGTAGTCCAGACAGAGAGGGTTTAGGGTGTTGTCCAGATCAGGGTGGGTGTAGTCTAAGCAGCCATAGATCCTGGGTGTTGTAGTCAGGTGGGGGTGAGCATTGTAGTGCAAGTAAAGGAGGGATTAGGGCATTGTAGTCCAGACAGACAGGGACTGCAGCTCCTGTCGCCCAAACCTTGGAGCTTCAGGCATTGT